CTGAACTAACTAGTTTGTTGCTGTTTGTTGCCAGAAACAGTGCAGCAGTCATGGTAAAGATGTAACATATGGATTGCCGGCCATAGCCATTGCCCAGTCATCCCCGCTCTCACACAGACAGATCCTTTCTGCTTGCACAGCCACGTTAATATCACATTTGTCTTCATATACTGACATACATTTACCCTAGAGAAGGGCGTATCGGGTTAAAAGTCAAAAGCTTCTGTATTTTAGCACTTCTGCTGCTGCTAACTCAGTGAATGACCTCTCTAATTGAGTCACTGCACCTCTGCTCTCCTTCCTCTGAATAAAAGTACTTGCTTTGGCTGGTTGTCAGGGACTGTGGGGCTCAGATATTATGATCTTCATTGATAAATTTCATACATCATCCTTGCTGTTAGTAAAGTAGAATGCAAAAATGCTCAAGTAGAGGAATTACATATGCAAAGACTAAAACATCTTTGCAAATGTTTTGCACTGTTATTTTATAAGCTCAAATAGGCTCACTGGTGTTATTTAGAGTAGTTACTGACAATTACTAAGTTGTATAAGAATTGTGTCAGGTGCTACTTTCCTCCTCAAGCATCCTGATGAAGAAAATGCAGATCAAGCTTTTTACACAGATCACAGATCATCACACTGATATGTGAGATGATSACACACAGATCATCATTGTCTTGCCTCAAGTAAATCTCAGAGATATGAATAAATCAAATGTCAGCCATCGAGCAACAGAATATAGGGAGTAGCTTCTTGTGTGATAATGCAAAAAATGAAATGTGAATACTTCTGCAACGGTTCTGATATTAGATATCAATGATTCAGAAAATGTAACTAAATAAAGATGTGACCCTCACCTAATGGTTACAGTAAGCCAGCTCTTGGGTGAACTTTTATTCTGAAATAATGACTAAAGGAAAAATCAGTAAGTTAAGATAGGAAGCTTTTTCAGCAAGATAATCCCTTGTGATTTTGCAATTTCTTGTTTTTATATATATATACACTTTACTAAAATTAAATCATGGAAAAAAATAGAGTCACTAGAAATACACTGTATTGAGAACAGAATTTGTTTTTTTGGCCATCTTATAAACATACATATGTGTTATAAAATTGTGAATTATATATTATATATAATGCTTTCATCTGTATGTGTGTGTGTGTGTATACAAATATATACACATCTATTTTTTGTTCTGTTGCATTGTAAATACAAAAAATACGTAAATCTATGTGGGAAGCCATGGTATGAACCTAAGAAAAAACAATTTTTTTATTTAGAAGGTCCCAGGAGATTTRTTTTGCCCAATGTTATATGTAGAAACCTGAATCTGCTGGCTTATAGACAAGGGCAACAAGTAAGTTTTAAGTAGACTCTCTTTTTATAACAATTAATCTTCTACAAAAAAACTGTAACCCATTTAGATTTTCACCTTTTTTCAAAGTTGTTTGAAGTTTGAATTTTCTCCTTCACTGCTTTTTAATCTCATTTCTAATCCCTTAGACCCCTTAATCAGTTCCTCAATGGCTTGCATTTATAGCAAACAGCTTGGTATTTTTGTTTTCATTTCTGATAAAAAGACATATCYAGTGCATAAAAAATGCATATTAAGAAGTCTTAATAAGGGTTTCTTAAAATAACGCTTAAGAATYCCACAAGTTCTTTGCCGTTGCAGAGACTATATCGAATAATCGAGGCTCCTCGTGAGAGGAGTCTCATGGCAGAAGGGTGAGACTTGAGACRTCCAGACCATATAAAATGAGGCATAGCGTGTTCACACTGTGTTCTACCTGCCCTTAGTTCACTTAATAGCTCTAAGGGAGGAAGATCCAGAAGCAGCTGCCAAGGTCACTAGTGSTGAGCAAAAATTTGGTCCAAAAATTCGACTCAGTGGTCCTGAGTTGACTAGTGGAAGATCTCTTCTCACCTTTTATCTGTTTGAGAAATGGCCTTGTACCACAAATCACTTCGCTTTTAAAGAATTTACATTTTGTGTTTCTTGATTCACTGGATATTAATTTACACAAAAGAGCTACTTTTTTAAGACGTCTTCTCATTTTTAAACTTGGCATTATCTTATGGATAGATACCTAGAGCAGCCATTTCCCAGTAGACTAAAAACCACATAGAAAGAGGYATATCTCTATATAAGAAAAACACCTCTGTCTAAGATTTATGCCTGTAAGTCTTGCTTACTGGCATCTCCTATAAAGAGAGGACTTTTATGATTAATTTTGCAGGATTGCCGTTTGGAACTGCCTCTGTGCTTTAACCATAAATTGTAAAACAAATTATGAAAACTGCTGCTTCTGTTAGCTCAATCCATATAGGTTATGATCATCCTTCCTTGAAAAGTCTCTTCATTACAAGTGTGTGTTCTGAAGTTGGTGGTAACTGCCAGMCTATAACTGTTTATAAGCCTGTAACTTTGACAGAGATGCAATGTATATTTTTTATCAAAATATCAGTTACACAACATGGACTAGAAGATGAGAATACATTTTGTTTTCCTGTGTGTTATTTTTCCTGAGAAGTCAACTATGTGCAAGCTGAAGCGGCCTCTTTTTTTTTCCCCCCCTCATCAGTTTGTAAATATTTCGGACAAATTGTATTTTCTATCTAGCTAATGCCAACTGGCTCCTGGCTTCAACACAAGGCTGATTGCAGAGCCAGGAAATGTTGCTAGATTTTCAATTCAGTAGTAACTGAGTAACATAATTATTTTAGGAGATTAACCTTCGTCCYGAGACCGATGGAGCTGATCCAGGCTACGTGTGCCCTACAGAGGACTAGGCAAACGTGCAGGGCAGCCACACTGGGCTGCTGCGCTTCCTTAGGAGCTCCCATCTACTGATGCTCATGCCTCGTGGGGAGTTAGGACACTGCTTGGTCCCGACATGCCACCCTTTCAGGAAAAAGAGGAAAAATACATACATACATAGGTACATACATACATACATATATATGTAAAGGAACAGAAGCAGAAGTCTTCTGTTTTATTTTTCAGAATTTTTTTCTGTCCTTCTTTTTTCTTTTTGCCTTACAACAAGTCTTACTCCTTGTCTTTTTGAGTTTTTTTTCTTTTTTTTTCTTTTTTTTCTTTTTTTCTTTTTTTCTTTTTTTCTTTTTTTTGCTCTTTTGGTTGAGTATTAGGTATGAAGTAACCTGTTGTCTGATATTCCATGACTTTGAAGCAGTTCTGCAGGTTTGAGTGGCACAAGTACTAGAAGAAGTGGAGTTTCGGCTGGCTAATTTTGGCCAGCTAAGGGTGTGTGTTTCTCAACCAACAAAACAGAGGTAGCTCCCTGGTATTGCTAAAAAAGYGAACTTTTCACTGCCTCTTGCAAATGTCCAAAGTCTCACAGTGACTTTATATATTGTGCTCACTAATATTGTACTTTGAACTATATCTGCTATTAACTCTCTTGTTTTAATCTTCCTTAATTCCCAGGCTGGTTCTGATTCTTCCCGTGTATTGCATGTAGTAGAGGGCCTGTTCACACATGTGTGAACCGAGGAAGGGTGTGAAGTTCAAGCCAAACAGCTCTTCCTCAAACACTTCACTAACTGTCTTTGTGGTAGTTCAGTCTATTTGTATATGGACTGAATCACTTGACATAAAAGTGTCCAGACAAGAAAATACTGCAGAAAGAGTATTCCACACTGATTTTCCACATGGGCAAAATTTACTTTAGTTTGTTTCTCCAGCTCAACTAACAAAGTACAGTCTAGAAATGTTGTGCTTCCTACATTCTCATGGTCCTGTGTTCATCCTAGGTCCATAAGTGAAGCTAGGAATACCTGAGAAGGCTAATTACAGTGTAACCATAAAAATCCTACTCTTTTGGGTAGGAAATCTCTTTCTCTTTGAATTTACTCATAGGTTGGAGAAAATTAATGCTTTTCGGGACATTTAAAATCTTAGAGTATTGTTGAAGGATTTTGTCTAAAATATTAATCAACCATGATCTTGTATGTTACATATGGCAAATAAATATCACAATATCACAATTTAATTCTTCAGGTGCCATGAACATTGCACACATTTGGCAGAAATTCACCTCTGAGTTACATAATTTTGCATTCTTCCCTCGGTTTCCTTGGTTAAAACTGATTGAAGTCTAAATGATTCATAGAGGGGCATAGAATTTCACTCACCTGATAACAATATTAAGAATTTTTCTGTAGTTTGTATGCAGATCCAGAATTTGTATCCAGATTTCTCCAGGCATTATAATTTTTAAACAAAACCTGTAACTTTTAGGTTGCTGTTAATTTAAGTGATATCATGAAGGCTTTGTGCTTTATTCCTACAATTTTGTCAGCTCAACAATAGTTAGGCCAACCTTGYAAATGTCAAAGAAGCTGATAATAATTTGCTGGGTATCCCCAAACCTGTCTGTAAGAGCAGACAGGGCAAGTGTGGACGATTCACACATTCTTTAAAGAAYTTGCAGTTAGTATTTGTTCCATTTGTTCCCTTTCAAGAAAATGATTTTATTTTTAGACCTTTGGATTCATGCGCAAAGATTTGCTAAGTGAATATTTAAAGTAAACTAATCAAAGGCTGTAATTTAATATGAGCTCTCTCACATTTCTTGGAACAAGTTTACAAAATGAAAACCTTGTTTAGATTACCCTGGCAGCAATGTATGGGAAAACCTCTTATATTGCAATTCCGTCACCAAATAGGTTATCACACTTTGAAAACTGACCTAATTGCTTAGGTCAAACACTCCTCATAATATTTGCTTTGCAATTTACATTAAGAGAATTTAAACATGCCTAAAATGTTTTTGAAACATTGCATTTCTTACCATGCTTAACTAGTGCAGTTGTACTGCCAAGTTGGAAACTAATAAATCGCCACTGAAGTTTCTGCTATTTTCTGAAGTTTCTGATTATCACTGGTATATAGTGAGAGAATTTAAAATAGTCCTTTTCTTTGTGACATTCTTTAGATCTACTTTGTATAACTGGATTTTGCTGTTTGTTTTAGAATCTCGGCCTTTRTCACTCCCTGTGAAAACCATGCTGAACTCGTCGGAAAGCTGCACAAGTCCTGAAGAAAGAATGAAGGAATTTATTGGAATAGTGTGGAATGCAGTTAAGCGCCTTACACTTCAGGTAAGATGAAAAGGGAGTGAGAAAAACTGTCATTCCAAACTATATAATACTTTTTATGCATCCTAGTTCTTTTTATGGGGGTTTTTTAAAGGAGTTCCCTCGTTTTATTGTCTTATTTCACTAGTTTCAACATAATAGAGGATGAAAATTAAAACATAGATTGCTGGTAAATTAAGCAAAGAATCCCACCTCTGGCTTTAAAATATTAGTGCTCCAAAATGTGTTTTTGTTACTAAAGGGGAATACGAAGAAAAAATGCTTGTCATGGTCTTTTGAATATAAATATAGCTGCTTGCTCATCTGTAATTAAAATTGCAGAATACTGTCCTACTGTCCTTTCTAAAATTATTTAATGAACGTACAAATTCTTTATTAGGTTGTGTGTTGCAGTATGATGCTGTACGGTGGTGCTTGGTTGTCTTCTGCTTAGTTGTCTACCTTCTTATAAAGAACCAATGAGACTGATCTGTTTTGTCTGACACTCCTCTTAATTCTAATCTGTGATCAAGTAGAAGCAGAGTAGCACTATGTATATAAAACATATATAGATGTATATAAAACATATATAGTAGCCGTATGTATATATAAAACATGCGTATGTGTACATACATATATATATATATATATAAAAATATATACATACATACCAACCTCAAAGAGGCCATCTTAGATATCCAGTATTGTGAGTAGATGATCAAAAACTAGACCGTTTAGAAATGCAAGAATAGGACTCGAGGCTTCCATATATGTATCGAGTGCTTGCCTGTAAGTAGCCCTCACCTAACATTTTTATAAGTTATGGCTTTCAAATGGTACGTTCTATGAGGTTAGTACACAACTATATAGTAGCAGAACTGTTTTCATGTTAAAATTAAAAACAAAACAAAAAGCTATTGCTGTTAAGAAAGTAATCACTAGATGCCTATTCATTCTTCCTACCCAAAATATTTATACCCAGCCACATGCACAAGCTGTTTTCATGCAGACAAGACAGGCCTCAGACTACTRGAGGGCTTGAAGAATTTGAGATTTATCTATCTGAGCAAGGACTTCAGGTTCCTGATTCTGCTTCATGCTAGAACATGCTGAAGTTGAGGGAGTGTTTTCTCTTAACTCCACTGAGCTTTCAGACAGGTCATTTGCTGGTATTTCTTGAGTACTTTGCCTGCTTTCCTCTATTTCTTAGTATTGTGACCACAAGTGRTAAGAATGGCTGGAAAAGGGGAGGAAAGACCCGTATTTACAAGGCTTTAGAAGGCTTTTTGAAGGAAGCAATGTATTTTTGTTATGAGTCTGGGTAGTACCCAGCACAGTGAAGTTCAGTATTAACTGAGACATAAAGTTTGTGTCGTAAGAAGAAGAATAAAATAGTGATGTAAAAGAACAGGATCCTTTATAAATGAGGAAGATAGAATTGGGATTGAAATACTGTCTCTTCTGCTCAWACATTTTTCATAGTAAGTTCTGTTACGTGAACAACTCCCAGGAAAATGGAAACTGAATTGGTTTTGAAGTAAGAGTAAGATGCTGAGTAGTGAAAAATGAAGTTTGTGTTTCCAAGTAAGGTAAAAATGTTTGAGATTGAAATGGTATTTTTGATGGAGATGAAAATTCACTACAGGGATAGGCTCATGCTTTCTCAAACAGTAATTTGTTGAATATTCTCATGATCTAACATAATATACTGAGGTGTTAGAACTATTGGTGGTAGAACTTTTTAAATATRTATGTATTAGATACTCTTTCTCATTTTTGAATTTGTTGATTTATTTACTTGCTTTTTTGGTAACATACTCAGATGCTTTCAATTTTCAGGAAATTATATTTTACTTTTTATTTCTGTTGAAATCAAATGGCCCTGTGACACCACACGGCAGCTTGCGAACTTACTCTGATGTGTTTCATCCCTGTGCTTGGATCGTGCTTGAAGTGAATGGCTTCAAGTGAAGTATCTTATCCGAAAGAGGGAATCCATATCAGCAGTAAAAAGTTGCAGCAGTCTCCAGGGATATACCAGAGGAAATATCCAAGGAAGTGTTTCTGAACAAAGATGCCCTTCTCAGCCCTTCTCAGTGAAATATGAACGATTCRTAGTTAGGCTTGCTCTTCTTTTTATTGTTAGCAGTCCCTGTGCCTATTTTCTTTAAGTGTATTTTTCAACACRTGGAATGTAAATACATGTAGGTCTTCTCCAATATGAGCATGGATGGGAAAGATGGAATCTTGTGCAAAGCAGTGTGTGTGTGAGRTAAGAAATTGAGGGTAATGGCTCTTTTTTTTTTTTTAATTCAAGCATAGCGTAATGTAATTATACCTTTAATAAAACACACCATATAATTAGATTTTCTCTCAACATGAAAAAGCCAAATAGCTAAAATATTTTTTTTTTCTGGTTAAATAGTGGAACATTAGACTGCAAGCTTTTTTTCTAAGGCTATTTTCATGTTTCTGGATCTTTTATTAATGTGATTGTAGAACAGCAAAATCTGCAGTTGTCGTCAGATAAAACAGAACTTCATAACTTAAAATCATCAAAGGATTATTCTTTTAGTGGAAGCTTGAGTAAGTAAATGTCTTTGGAACCAAAGTAACTGGAAAGTTTATTTTGGAGCCAAAGCTGGTACTTGCTTAGCCCTGGCCCTCCCTTGCTCATGATAGACTATTGCATGAAGATTTTGTGCTCTGGAGTTGTGCTAAGGTATTAGTATTTTAGTGAAAAGACTTTCATACTCAACTATAAAAAGTTGTTTTTATTATTTGGTTGTTGTAGGATTTTATACACAGCCTTGAAGTCTTCTTGGCAGTTATACTGTGCAGGAGGGTAATACTCACTTTTCACGTGTTCTTCATCCTAATAGTTGCTTAAATTGTGAAGCAGTATAAACACAGTTATTTTTAATTGGTTGTTAATGCTGAATTCCAGTGAGAATAATGAAGGATCTGTATTAAAAGCAAATGAATTAATGAGTAATGTTGCAGGGAATGCCAACTAAATAAGTGTGTTAATTATTACCCCCCAAATGTAGCCAGATATTCCACCTGCCTTTAAATATCCCTGAAATTATTTCAGAAAATGAGTCTGTTTCCTGAAATTATTGAAAATAATATTTTCTTTAAAGCATGTAACTTGCACAAAGTTATAGTTAAAATGAAACGTTGATTGAAAGTGCAGAAATGCAATGGTGAAATTGCCAAGTGTTCTTATTCTTTGAGTAGATCAGCTGCTCTGTGGCTTGTAACTTAAGAGTAATATTCAGCAGTTGTGAGATAGGACTATTTCTTAAGATGATTACTTATCACAAACTGGCAAAAGTTAAAGTATCCCCTAATTAAACAAAAATAATTTTAAAATTGAGCTTGCTTAGAAAAAAAGAGGGGTCCCTTGAAGTGCTAAGTTACTGTTTTAAGCAGTTGAAAAAAAATGAGGGGTTCATTACAGTCATTATGGTTATTGTACTCATTTGTATGTGCAGGTAGCCAAGCCTTTTAATTCTCCTACTAATATGCACTACTTTTCAGTGACATCTTTTTTTATCTTTCGGTCTAACTTTGAAATACGAATTTCTAGCCTGTCTCCCTCATTTCTAACAAGCAGTACATGCCAGGCTTAAATGCAGAGGATAGACCTGATTTGGATGTAGGGCACCAAGGTAGAGTCTTACAGCAATGACCAAAAACCATAACCCTGATGTAAGGTGGGTACCGGTTGATCGCTGCTCGTCTGGGGATCATTATGAGATTTATTCTGTATTTCTGTATGGAAACTTCCCCAAATCACAGTCTCTCCCGTGTGACAGGAGAGACTGTGACGGATGGTGGTTAGTGGAGGTGGGGTCTGGAGGTGGGGTCACTTCACACGAGTGTCACCCAGTGGGTGATCTCCAACACCTGGAATTCTTTTCTATCTCTGTAAAAAGGGCCTCAGGGAGGTGGATCTGGCTGTTTCACCACCATCGTGGAAGGTTCCCCCTCTTTGCTGCCGCGGGCAGAGAAGCTCTGGATTTGTTTGGCTGCCCTCTCTCTCCTGCCCTCTCCCCCAGTTATGGAGACTTGGTGCTACACAGTTTGTAACTGTACTTCACAGCTGCCTTTATATTCCCTTTTTTTTTAATATATAAAATATGCCCCCCCCAAATACTCCATTTATTCCAGAAACTTAATACGATCCTTTAAAGACTGCTGAGATGTTCAAGTCATTACAGCTTTTCAAGTCCCTAAGATAGCAGAAGCGCAGAGCGCTGTGCTTTGCTTTGCTTAACTTTTTTAGAAGTAGAAGGGAAAATACTGCTTACTTCATTGGTTTATCGTGAGTGTACRTTTCTTTGCATGTGTAGGCCTTGACATAATAGCAATGAAAATAGGGGCTGATTCTGTTTCAAGAATTTGTAATAATTCCTTCTCTTTAACACATGAATGTGTTCAGCATTGGCAAAAGGACACGTTGCTACCAAAACTGAAATAAGATCCTTGAAACAGAAAGGATGTTGCCATGGAAAAATGAAGTAACGCTCAGTGCAGCTGCGAAGCATTAATGAATAGGATATTTTTTTAAAAGATCATTTGTGTTTGGTGTGGCTTGGAGGGTCCCAACCAGATGGTTTCCATGAACAGGATCTGACCCCCAGCTTGAGGACTTCTTACTGGCAGATTACTTCATTTTCTTTCCCTTGGATTGTCAGATCCTTACATTAATGCAAGATTTACTGCTGCAGATTTATATTCAGTTACATAAATCAGTCACATTTTACATTAAATTCACAATTTTAGACACACAGTTTAACAGTTATTTAAAAAGTGTAAAAAGATTTATATGATAGCTTTAATATATGCTATTGATGTCATTTAATTTTAAGATATTTGGATTACATATATTTTAAAGCACTTTTCCRATTGGTGAAGCAATCTATAACACACGTTCTAACTTTTTGTCCAACATATAATTCCATCACCATAGGTGCACTCTGCCATTCCTGCACTGGAACTTGCTTTTAGGCAGATCTCTGGATTCTGTCAGATAAATATCCACAAATCCCATTGAAGTTGATCATTTTGTGTAAGCAGAACCTGACATGGGGAAGTTCAGCCCCTGTGACTCGAATGCTTGGCTGTGCACTTACCTGGCCCTGGCGCATCCAAGCTGCCACTTTCCTTTGGCATTACAGTAATTGCATGATTTTCACTGAAATGTGAATTTTTTACTTAGGTTCATTTGGTTGGCCTTTGAAACTTGGCAGTTATAAGTACTTATAAATAAATTTCATTTATTCGTATAAAACTTTAAATGAAACACAAATACAGAAAACCTCTCTCTAAGTGGATATGTAATACTGTGTATTAGGAGCCAGGTGCTATCATGTAAATAACTCCATCAAAATTCAAGGACCAGCTCCTGTTCATTCCTTTGTAAAATGAAAGAGAAAATATCCACTTTGGTGAACAGAAATCCCCCATGGCCATTTGTAGGAGTGAAGCTGTTGTGCTCCAAATTCAGTGTACTTGCTGTGGTGAAGTCAGGTGACAAAGGTGAACTCTTCTTCAGTAGGAAGCTACTTTTACTCCACTATAAATTAAAGGTAGAAACTCTACTGAGTATTAAGACCTCAAGAGTGAGTACTTTGTAAAACATCTCCTGGAGATCCTGCTGCTGGTAATGTGATAAAGTCTTGTATCTATCACAATGGGTGGAATTTGGGGCTTATTATTACCACATGGTTTGTGTGTCGAGGCAGCCTTGATGTTAATCATCATGGAGATATATGTGCACTTAGAGTGAATGATTGTTCTAAATTGTTTATTCAGTAAGTGCATCGATGAAACAGAAGTTATGCTGATCAGAGCTKCTTTTATTAACTATCTGTCATTATCCTGCAATGGTTTGACCTGCAACCTATTGTTAATAGACCAGAAAATGATCTAATGTGTCACTGTAGAAATCTTTGCAAATTGACACAATGACTAATTTACCTTTTTTTTTTTTTGTGTTGAGCCAAATGAATTACATCTGTAACAATACTCTGTTGCTTTTCATCCAGTATAAATAAAGTACACTCTGTGACCTTGGATCAATAAACTACTTATCAAAGATGTAATTAACTTCATTTTGCAATTCAAACAATTCTAAAACGAGAAACAAACACAGACTTCATATAACAATGTATTTATTTTTGCAAAATTCTCCCTATATTTTTCTGCAATGATTTCTTGTCAGTTTGTCTAAGCAAAAGGGCACAAACTGCTGAAATAAAGATGAATATCTGCATTCTCTTCAGCAGACTGGCAAAGCATTTATGATGCTGAGGAATTCCAGTGCTATTACACATTAGCATTGCTCTCTTGGGAAATTATTAGCCTTTAGGGAAGGGTATCACGCACAGGCCTTGATTATCAGTTTTAAGCTATAATTTCTTTAATTATATCAAATTGATGTTCTCTGTTACATGAGTTTAGAGCGAACAAGTGTTCTTTTATCAAAGCCACAAATAACATCTTGCGGCCGATAGTTTGGACACCAGATTGTTCCAAGCTATTGTGGAGCAGTGGGGTGAATCATAGGCTGTACTTGCTTACCAAAGCACACGAGTGTGCTGGCTCCTAGGGCCCTTCGCTATCCAGGTGCAGAGTGTTACTGCTGAGAGCCAGCAGCACTAGCAGGCTCGCAGTGCCGCCGAATGAGCAAGTCCCCAGGAGTTCAGTTCTGGCTTTGGGCTTGCTCAGCCTGGCCAGAAGTCCCCAAGGAGATGGCAAAATTGTCAGAAATGTTCCAGGGTAACAGCAGAGTTTAAAAATAAAGAACAAAAAAAAGTTAGTGGTGTTTCAATATGAAATTGCCTCTGCTGCTTTTGGTTTGCAGTGGCAACAGGACAAAACTTTACTCAGGGACTTTACTCATTTCTATTTCCATTATTTGTGTTTGGGAGAAGGATGCATGTATGTATCTATCTGTTTATTTTAATAGAAATCATTTTTCCACTTCAGCATATATTCTGCCTAGATTATCTGGTGGTTAAACCTTTTGTACCTGTTCATTACTGCTGACTGCAATGTCAAGTCAGACGTCTCCTTGAAATAAGTCTTTCTATAAAGTGACAGCCTATAAAATGGTTAGCTCTCGAGCCCTTGCTAGTGCTCACAAAAGCTAACGACCTGCAAAAGGAGGAGGATTTTCTCACCTTTTTTTGTGAGAACATTTTCCAGCTCAATCATGTTCCCTGTTAAAAGCTGTTGAAGGGTAGATATATTCTCAGTTTACATGGCACCACCTCTCTGATCAGATTTACAGACCAAAACGACACTTTTCCCCTCTCCCCTTCCGCAATTATAGTTTACTAGAATATAAATATTTTTAAACATTTGTCATCATCTTTCCTTTTAATTTGTGGAAAAACTACGACCATCTCAAATTAGCTATGGTGGATATGCAATTTGGACACCAACCTGAATATGTTACCAAAAAAAAAATAGTAATCTGTTTCTTGGCTTTGTTTTATTACAGCTCGAAGTGCAATCCTGCTGTGTTTTCATCCCCAATGACAACCTGCCTTCGCCAAGTACTATCGTGTCCGGCGACATTCCCGGGACCGTGCGAAGCTGGTACCATGGGCTGAGCTGCATGCCCGGCACGCTCGTCGTCTGCCTGCCCCAGATAAAGGTTATGAGTGCTGGGCACAAACATATGGAACCGCTGCAAGAGATCCCATTTGTTGTGCTCAGACCCATTCTTGAAGAAGGTAGAGTTTGATGGCTTTAAAAGCTTTGCTCTTTAATTTCCATTTAGAACCTCTGGGATTTTGTTGTTGTTTTATTTTGCTAGCGTTTTTAGTCATTATTATGACTTGTTGAGGGCTAGGAATCCCAGTCTTTGCCCAAAGAGATCAAAGTGCAACTCATCAAGCAGCTAGCAGTCCTTCTGTGATAGTTTTGCTTTCTTTGGGGATGCCAAAAAAATCAAAAGTGCATTACTTGCCCAGATTGGTTTTGTCATTCAAGTTGTTCTGTAGCCAGGTTGGGATGATGCCACAGCAGGGGCCACTGGGTTGTGAAATGCACGAACCTTTCCATCAAAAAGAGGTGTGACTTTGGAAGTAGCATTAAATGTAAGATAAGAAAAGAAATTCCTACCTATAGCAGACTACCTCCCCCCCCCCAAAGTAGTGAGGCTGCCTTAGTGTTTGTGATAGGCAASGGTCATGTGTTGTGTTTGGTTTTTAATAGGCATTTTGTCAAGGTTATTATAGAGATTTGAAGGAAAAAAATGAGAATATTTTACTCTCTGGAAGGGGAGTCTCATGGAAAGGGGTAAAAGCRATGAGCAAAAAGTGTCCTACTGCTTACTTGAGAAGGTGATAGAGGTTTGATTTGTGGACTAATCTGAGGAAGGATTGACTTTTAACATCTTGCTACTGCTTGAGAAATGATCTGAAAGGAAGGKGTAAACTGAAAAGGGCCCTCACGAGTGGAAACAAGCTGCTTGTGCTTAAGATGCAGAAAAAAACAGAGCTGTTCGAAGATGTGAAGTGATCAAAGTAACAGGCYGGGGAAAGGCTTTTGCAGCGCTGGTTTACTGCTGCAAGAGTCTTGTTCCATTGGTATTCATACAAAAAATGGTTATTGAAAATGAGTAAGGCAATAATCCCTATCCCTAAAAATCTTGAAAGTTGATTTATGCATTTATTTTAATGATCTTGCATCATAAACCAGTTTAAAATTTCATGAAAGTGTCATTATACAGCTATTTTGTATTGCATTCTTAAAAGTATTATTCAGAAGTATTTGCTACTGTTTTGTATGTTTGTGCTAAGATAAAGCAAAATRCATGCACAGTTAGAGAGCTTTTGTTAGAGCATTATGTAGAAAAATTATTTTATACCTATATATGGTTCAAATGTAACCAGTTATAGAGAATATTTTATGAAAATATGGAGTCAGAAACATTCTTAAAAGCTGTTCTTATTCCTTCCATCTCAAATGTTTATAGATTTATAACAGCATTTTCTACCTCCTTTTGTTCTGCAATTTACTGTTCTCTTTCTTCTTACTTTTTACTTCAAGCTCCCGCAACAGAAACAAAATCATAATTTTAAACACTGAACATCTTATTAGGCATGTTTTAAATGCCAGCAACTGAAAAAATATGTAGACGTTTTCCTTAATTAATTCTAGTGGGAATTATCTAATTTACTAATCATAGGGACAGGTAAAAGGTAAATTACTTAACCACAATCGTCTTTTGTTTGATTTAAACTTAGGATGTAGCTTAAGCTATTTATGAAAGTAAAAAGTCGTTTGAATTTTGTTAAACCCAGATTTGCAGGAAAGATCCTAGTGAGAGAAAAGAATCACTCTGTTTGGGATAAAGTGCAGTGTAAGGAATCTATTTGCATGTGGCTTTATGCTCTGGGAATGATGCCAAACAGAAGTTCTCACCATCTTCATATTTTTGATTCTCCAATGGAGCCGTTGCCTTCCCTTATCCCCAAACTCCCCCTAAAAGAAACCACTAAGAAAGTTATTTTCATAGCTTTTAAGTCACCTTCTTTCTTTCCTCCCAGGATGAGATGGATAATTTTAATGCATTTTTATTGTGAGAGTCTCTAATTTGCATTCTGTGTGTGAGCAAGACTTCAGGGACACAGCATCATTCCTCAAGCAYGTTACCTTCTCTGTGAAATGTTATTTTATCTCAGCCTGCTTTTCCTGAAAAATATTTTTGAGTCATTATTTTTTTCTACTAAAAACAAAAATCTGAGCAAAAGGCTTGTTTACAGGGACACATACTTATTTTTAAGAAAGTTGTACGATTATTCATATATTTTTACTGTTACTTGAAAAAATAAAGGAGAATATGATGACAAGGAGCATAGTCATAATGTCATTTGGGGATATTGCAGCCCTCTCACAAAGACTTTTTGACCTCAAGATGTCAACATACTGTAAAAATAGCTTWTATACTATCCCACAGTCAAGTCTTTCGACTTGTGTTGGGAGCTCGGTTATATTTCTTTTCTGAAATACTTAAAAGAGCATTTAAAGTACAGTGCTTCTATTCAGAAACATAATTTAGCACAATCACACTAAGTAGCTTATGAATAGAAATAGGTTTATCTCTGTAAAGAATGAGGTACTCTGTTGAACCTCTGTTGAATAACAAATACCCCTGAACAAATTTGTAAGAAATTATTAGAATACATTATTTTCTTGAAAAGTCGGATCAATCACATGAGAACATTTCAGATCTAGTTACAATTAATGAGGCAGAACATATTGAAGAAATTAAATAGAAACTTCTTTTATTTTGCATTTTTAATCTTTCTAATTTAGAACTCTTTCTGAGTTCCACTTTTCTTTTTATACTAGCAACTGTTTGGTACACTGCTCCCCTTTTTTGTGAAATACAACAAATCATTTACTCTTGCAGAAGTTTTGTAGCTTAAGTTTAAACTTAAGAAACTCTCCAGTGACTTCTGAGGAAGTAGAAAATTAGGGCCTCTAGTATTGACTATTGTAATGAAGTGTCTTAGCCATAATGCAATAACATATATTTSCAAAAACCTCTGCAAGTTAAAGCAGAGACTTAGTTCATGGTTAAAGCAGAACACTGATTTCTTAGAAGTTTTGATCTTTCGTTGGATTAAAAAAAAAGTACTTCAGTATACTAAAGGAAAAAAAATGTGTAACTGAAAAGGAAAATTAAGGCAATGGGCAAGAAAATATTGACATTCAAAAACTCTGTTTTTTCTGTATTTATTCAAGTCATCTTCTGTAAAACACAGTAATTATTGTATTTAGTAGATGTAATGACTTTATAAAATTAGTCCTCACATTGTAACGATATTCTTCAATGTCTGAAGAGCAGCGAAGATTCTGCTTAGACACTTGCTAACGCCGAGCTCAGCGCACGCAGGGCGTGCGGCCAGGCAGCGGCTCCCCGCGCRCGCCTGGGAACAAGGACAACATTCACCTAAGCAGTCATCATTACTCTGTCTTTTTCTTTAAAATCCTGCATGTCGCATGAGAACCTGAGGGAATTGGAAATGCCACGTACAGACCCCGCAGCGTAGGTGCAGAAAGGGCAATGAAGACAAAGTAATCGAGAGGCTTTCTAAAAATTACGTAGGATACATTTAGCAGACCTGGGAAGAGATCCCAGATCGTTCACACGATCAAGCTTTCGTGGTTCTCCCCTGACTATTACTAATTTTAAACAAGCAAAATTCATAGTTTGCAGAATTGCCAACATTTTATACAGCATTTGTGTGACTGCCACTTGTGCAGTGTGGGTTTTCAAATAGAAGTGTCATATAAAAGTGAGAGCAAAGGTGTAATAAAATTATTACTAACTAAACAAATTTATCTCTGTCTTGTYTTGTAAAATGTGGAAAGGCTCTCACTAAAAAAGAAAGAAAGAAAATCATCAGGATGTTACAGGAAATGAGGTAACTGCCAGAGGAAAAAAAAACCAAAAGCTTTTAATTATACATATAGCAAAAATAACTCAAATTCACTGCAGAAAATGATTCTTGGCAAACTATAGCAAATATTGGATACCTGATAAATGCCAGTTCACTTCATCTGGTGATGGAGTCCGTCAACTGTCAAAGATCTGAAAATGTCACATATATTTAAGAAGTCATAAAACAGTTGATATATCTCAATTAAGAGATTTTCTTTTTTTTTTTTTTTTTTTAAACCAGTGCTGAGAAGGAATTTCAAATAAGGATGTATGAAAGCTGTCAGTCAGGAATTAACTGGAATCAGAAACCTTGTTTCATGTTTATCTTTTATATTCTTGCCTATTAAAGAAGTGGCTGCATTGTGGTTCTGTTGAATGCAATGTTAGTTTTACTTCACCTTAAGAGAAGCTCAGAGATTAATAAAGTAGTATACATGGATGGGAACACTGGATATGCCAAGGAAATGTCTGCCAAGTTTGGTGCTGTTTTTTCCTTCCTGCCTCCTAATAAATAAATGGGATTTGAAGTTAATATGTTTTAAACAGTATTGCTTTTGATATTTAGACACTTTGAATGTAGTTGCCTAAAAGCAATCTGCAAATGAATGCAGGTAATTTTTTGTTTGTTTCCTAATGTAAAGCAATCAGAATTACAACCCCAAAACAAGTATTTATAAAATGGACAGCTCCAGTACAGTATCTGAATGATAAGTGTGCACGGAGCTGAGGAAGATGTAGATGATGGCAATGAGGGGGATTTTATAGTTGTAAATTTGTGATATATTTACTGCGCTGTTTAGCACTCTGTGGTTTCTATACATTGAACTATGCATGCACTCAGTGTTCTCTCTGGACATTTTTTCTAATCCTTGACATATAACTGAAGTAAATTCACTGCGGTGATCACAGAGAAAAGCAAAGATCGTGTGTAGTAATTAGAAAAATGTCATTAGAGTTGACTTCCCATTTGATTTTTTCCAGCTATTACAATTAATACTTTGTATTTCTTGGCTGGCCAAACTTGGAAAAAATACCATTTGCTAACTGCTTTTAAATATCTAATCTGAAATATTTCCAAAATATTTTTGAGTTACTTTGGCCAAGCTGAGTTCTTCAGTCCGTAATAGCTTCAAAATAAGCTACAGAATTTTTTGTCTCTTTCTTAGGATGAGGTGCAGAAACTTTTTGATATATTCTGACTGTATACACTTACTGCTGGTGCCACTTGTGTAAGAATCAATAAAAGTTTTGCTAAAATAATATGATTTAAGAAATTTGKWTTTTTTTTAATTTCAGAAGTTTTGTAATTTTTTTTTGAACAGTTAATTGCAGTTAGCAGTTAATTTGTGCTATTTGTCAGGGATGTGATTTCTTCAGAGGACACACTGTTAACAGTGTGCCACCCCAAGCTGCAAACACACACATTGATTTTTCTAAAAACCCTAGTTCAGGTTCCTTACAGCTCTGTTAGGGTCCCTTGTAGTAGTCCTGGGTACTTACCTGTCATCTTCTGTCCCATTACTCAAGACTGCCTTGGAGCTTTCAACATGCAGGTCTTCCTACCACTATGACTCCAGGCCCAAAGCTGTGGAAAATTAACCCTCACACCAAATAATCTTTGGGTTTTGGTATAGGAGAGGGAGCCGCTCTCTTTCTGTTCTCCCAAATGAATGTTCTCGCAAATGTCTCCGTACAAAAAGACAAGGAATGTTTTGGCCCTGGCTGGGGTTCCTGAATGCTCGTCATGCTGCTGGCATTCTGTCCGAGACTGTGAGCAGCCATTTTCGTGTTCCTCTGAAACAGGACAGCTTCGAGGTTGCTTTTCCATGGCCTCAAAACTCACATCCTGCCCACGGACTCCCCTTCATCCAAATGGGACCCAAAGGCCTGACTTCCTCAGCAGAAAATCTGATAAATAGAATAATGAAGACTTTCTTCTGGGGAAAAAAAATCTTAAATGATTGCTATACTCCCATACTTCTACAGAGCATTTTAAAATTATTTGAAAAGACTATGTTTTGTGTGAAATAAATGAGAGTTCACTGTGTCATTTTCCTCACTGCTGCTAAATATTCTTYGGGTTTTGGTTTGCAGTCTCCTATAAACCTAAATTGCCTCTTTGGAACAAATGGGATGTGGGATTTTTGAGGTGCGTGGTTTTGTCCCGCACACAGCTGCTTCCCTTCACCTGTTCCTGATAGAGCTGGCTAAGATGTCTAAGGTTTTCTGACACAAGTTTTTGTTACCTTTCTAAAAACTTGGCCAAAACATTCTATCTAGCTTCTGTCCAGCCTTATGGGAAATACCCACAAAATATCCGTTTTTCCACATCTATTGACAATCCAAAGGAAAAATCCAACTTCAGCCTGTACTGAAGTTGCAGCCATTTTTTTATGGTGCTGGAAACTGCTTCTTGCCTCACCGGTTATCCCTCCTGATGGTTYAGGGAGGGTTCCTTAAAAGGAAATGAAATGCTCAGCATAAGTTTATAGTAATTAATTTTGTGTCATGATGTCCTGATCTCTACATGTAGCACTTGCACTTTGGGCTTGGCCTTCTCCACCGTGTTGGATGTTCTTGATCTTCTCTCCCTGCCCTCCAAGGCGCTATAGTTTTCCCTATTTCATTCCGTATTCTGTAGCCCCAGCGAGGCTTGTGGGAGGCACTTGGCCACAGTGGATTCGCAAYGGGTTCACAATCCCAAAGCATTCCAGTTTTTCAGAACTAAAAAAAATGACATGTTTTAGATTTCAAAGTGTAGAATGGAATTCATAGTTGAAGGATATTTCAGAGAGTTTGGTAATAATTTAATGGGCACTGTATGTGCCTTGAGTTTGGGATAAGGCCTTTACTTAATTTGAAAATAAAATACRGTCTATAATTGTTTTATTTCTTTTTAATGTTTAGGTGATGCCTTTCCTTGGACAATCAGTCTGCATAATTTCAGTATATACACTCTCCTTGGACAACAGATGACRCTAAATTTAGTGGATCCGATGGGCTGTACTTCTACTTTAGCTGTTACTTCACAGAAACTGCTGGCTTCAGGGCCAGAAGCCAGACACTCATTTGTCGTCTGCCTCCATGTCGACCTTGAGTCCCTTGAAATAAAATGCTCAAACCCCCAGGTTGGTACATTTAATTGATTTATGAAAGGAAATTAAAAATAACTTGATTTAAGTACAATTGTTCTGCATTTTGTTGAAGAGGTTCTCTTCTATTAAACATCTTAATTTTTTTTTAACTGGGCCATCAAGATCAAGGTGCTTAGATTAAGATTTGCTTTGAAGCTCTCTCAAGTTTTGTAATTTAAACTCTTCTCAAAATGTAATAGCTACAGTATAAATGCATCTTTTGGCTGATGGAGTGAAATGAATTGCAGATGTACCGTTAAATGCTATAGTACTGCTCTGCTGTTACTGTGGGTTCATGTATGGGAATGGCTTAACGCAATTTTTATCATATTCTCACAGAGCTAAAATTTCTTCAAATGTAAAATGTTTTTAGGCATACAATGGTTATTTAGTAAGTAAAAAAACAATGCATATAAATAGAAGTTATCATCTCATATATGACTAGATTTTCTAAGACTGCACCCTGTATTTTTCTGAGTTGGATCAAGTTTGCTTTGGTCCAGCATGGTAGGTTTTATTTGCATAATTTTGAGTAATTTTTGCTATGATTTAAATAATACTTTTGTGACAATTGCAGCATATTATCAGCAGTGGTTTTGCAAAAAGCACTCTTGTTCTCAGGAGTTACAGATCACCTTAGATCTGAAGGCAGCATTCATATACTGTCTGCTGCAACCATTAGCCATATGTCAGATTCTTCAGAGGACTTCATGAACAAAGTGCACTATTTATTTCATATTTAGTGGAAAGAAAAGATAGGAACATAAAATATTACATCTTTTATCTCATAAACAAGACATCATGTTTATAAAGATTTACAGACCTATGGTCTGAGATCACAAAAGTTAAGGTGGCTGCTGTAAGTTTAATGTTGTCCCTTGTGTATATTCATTACACAGATATTACACACATATTTCTCGATCACATCCTGTTTGTTGTACAGTGAAATATCAGAMCTKTTTTTTTTAGGAATGCTCATGTAYACTGTGGTGTGTACACAGAGTAACTGTGAAATTTGATTCTTTAGAATGCCAGACTCTATTTTGTCTRTAGATGACAGCTTTAAGTTAGATGATACTTAGTGAATTTGCTAGATGGTAACAAAAGTGAAGTATGTTACTGTCTAACTCTTATGATTTAATATGAAATGATGTTCTGATGGTTCAGCCCTCTATGCAAGTTCAATAGATACTTCCAGTATGCAAAATTGTCAGGATTTCATCTTTTACCATATTGTTCTCAGTTTTGTGGTAACATTATTTTTTAAATGCAAAATATTGTAATGTATTGATTTTACTTTTTTACTGTAAAGTACATATCTTGCCAAGTGGGCAGTGAGATCTTACTGAGTTACGGAGAGTTCTGCTGGGGAGGAAATGGAAGCTGTGTTGAAAGGGGAACATTTTTGTAATAAATAGTGGCAGTGTTGTTCATATTTTGTTATGCAATTTTTTTCTTTTGAATAGAGAGTACTAAAATAAAATAAAATAAAATAAAATAAAATAAAATAAAATAAAATAAAATAAAATAAAATAAAATAAAGTTTACTGTGATGGTCAAAAATAATTCTACAAGATGAGACCTTTCTCTTACATTAGCAATTCTGATCAGGAATGGATCTTGAGAATATTAATACTCACTTGAAAAAATGTAACCAGCAAAATAAATAGAAATCCTTTCATTTTCATAATTAATAACCATTGAAATACAATGGAATGTCTCACTTTCATTTTTATGAGGTTTTGCTGAATTTWTTTATTTATTTAATTATATTGCAATTTTTGAGGTTTTTTCTTYCTGCTCTTTAACATGTCTCCAAGAACATCATCTCCCTCTAGGTAACTGTGTGCTTTTCCTTGATGAACCTTCTCCTTGTTGTTTTGTGTCTAATTTTAGAGACGRGTAGAATATTAGGTTAGTACGATTTGGTCATATGATTCCTGGAGTGCTTCAGAGGAATGGATATTGCTGTCTGAATTAGCAACTCCTTCAGAGTGGCTGCAAAGATTCTAGCTTGAAGACTTAAAATGAAAATGTAAATAATGATTAACTATAATGACTGTGACTGTTGTTATCTCATTTAGATCCAAATTCTTGAGCAGGGGATTATCAAGTGATAAACCTCTTTAGCTTGTGTACAAGCATGCCTGTAAACATCGAAGTGGCATCATTTCTTCATTCATGTTACTTTGTGCCTTTATGAATCCTGGCATAATTAATTTTTTGGGATCCTTGCTTTTTAAGGACAAACATAAGTTTAAATTAGCTTTTAGTCTCTTGACCAGTAAATATTTTGATGGAAGGGAGGTTGCAAGCATCTATGATTTGGATGTGTGCCTGCATCCCATTAATTGTCTAGAGATTGTTTTCCAGAAAAGTGTCAGCACCCATTAATGTTAAGCTACTCAGTCAATCAGATGGGTATTATTAGTCTCTTTTCCTGATTTACATGGAAGACAGTCAGCAAAAACCTGAAAGTTTTGTAATTAATCATTTAAAGGGTACCATTGCACTACAGACCCAAGCCCCTTTTAAGTTTAACTAAAGTAAGTATTTGCTGTAAGCGAAACAACTAGCAATAAACTTAGTCTGTAGATAATTCCACGCGTGAAGACAAAAAATACTGAATTCATCTTCTCTAAGAAAAAAATCTGTCAAGAGAGTATATGACCTGCTCAGTGTAAGCCTTGAAACTTCAAAAGAAAATCCAGGATGAATTAAGAAGGTTTTTATAAAATTCCAGCACTTCACCTCTTAAGAAAGGACTGTAGCATGTTCTTTGAGACTTCATCACACATTCTCACGCACAAAATTAAGTACTGTTTTATATCAAATGTAGATTGACAACAGTGTTTTTCTGCATCTGTTCTGCCCACATAAGAAGCCAGCTTCAGAGAGTAGATGTGTCCTGAGGCTTAAAGTTCTTATAAATATGAGAATTTCCATTTTTTATAATGGCAAGTTGGGTATGGTATCCAGCTGTGGATCTGCTTATATATTGTTTGCAGTTTTCCCTGAGCTTGTTTTATACAGTATATGGCAATATGTTGTCATACAAATTCCATGATTAATGCTTATTTACAAAAGCTTGTGTAAATATCTTAGAACTGAGTCAAACAATGTGCAAGTTAAACAGTATGTTTTCTGAATATTAGTATGACATTTCCCAGGAGATTATTGAGTTTGATAGTGGATATTCTTTCTACTACTTAGAACAGTTACATATGCTGCATGAGATCACTATTTTATTACTACTAAAAAGGAGTAATTTTTACATTCTTAATATTTTATAATGCTTATTTTTATATAATTTCCTTTTTCTAGGATTTTAATAGAAAGAGTAGTATCCATACATATGAAATATACCAGAAATTAGATTTTTTTAATTGTTAAAATGTGTTAGTAATAAGTTTTACAAGACCAGATTATTGGTTATATTTTTATGAACTACATGCTATATGTTTAGAGAAACACATATTTCTGACCAAAATAACTAGAGCATAACTTGTTAATTAATATAATTGCAATATAGTTACTTCTCAGAACATTATAAACTGTGAGGCTCACAGTCCTGTTGTATTTTAAAACTGAGTGGAGAACTTTGATTTGGATGATTTTCATTCACCTTATGACTATATTCACCTCAACAGGAAAAAAAAATCTTAAAAAATACATTTCTTGTAGGTGCAGCTTCTGTATGAGCTGGCAGAGATCGCAAGTAAAGTTTGGAAAAAAGTTCAGAAGAGAGGAATTCTTTCTCAGTCTTCTGCCTACGCCGAGCCCGTGCCGGGCGCTGTCCCTCCCAGCTCTCCGGTTAAAAGCAGTGTGGGCACCGCGCCGCCGGACACCAGCACGTGCAGCCCCTCTGCCGACATCGGCACCACCACCGAGGTAGGCAGTCTGAAAAGGTGGGTCATGGGACTACTGACCCGCGAGGGATGGGCAATCAAGTAAGAGCCCAAAGGATTAAGAAAGAGTAATAGTGTCCCTGTGCAATGGAGCTTTGCAGCTGGTCACCTTGTGATGGACGTTTCGTTACTTGTTTTGGAGGAAGAGAGGAAGGAGGAAAAGAAAAAGAGTGCAGGATTGCTCCTATGTTTATTGTTTGCCTGGATCATTTCTCTTAGAAACAAATGAATATTAACTCCTTTAAGTGAATTATAGCTGGTGTTTGTAAATCCAGAAGTATATGGTATTTTTSATGTCCAGAACTATATGAAAGTGGTACCTGGTGGTCTTGAAGTGTCTGTGGCACTTGTGTTGCTTGTAAGGCATCTGAAGCAGCTTTGGTGGCCAGCCAGTCAMGTGAAGGCCATCAGTGGGACTCCCGTGCTCTGCTCTGTGGTGTCTTTATTGGCAAGCTGGGAGAAACAGGATGAGCGGAGGTGCCCAGGCCAGTGCAGGGGGTCACCCAGTTGCACACCCTCCCCAACTCCTTCCTGCTATCATCATGTTCCATCTCTGAGACACTTCTGTAAGCTCTGGGCCTTCACCTCTGCCAGCTCTCCAATGCTTTGGGAATCTTTTGCAACTCAGTCACACAAGGATTTCAGTGTGCAGCTTCCAATATGAGAAAGACTGGCTGCTTGATTTTATGGATTTGTTTCAGTAATTTGCAGCACTCGGTAACTGCGTGGGGCAAGCTCGTAGTGTCAGCAGGATGCGATGTCAAGCCCCATCTCTGGGTGTCACTAGCTAAGTGGCACCAGGTAGCTGATGTAGTAGGACGTGTGGCCACAGGACACTGTGCAGCTGGATCACAGAATCACAGGATGGTTGAGGTTGGAAGGGACCTCTAGAGATCATCTAGTCCAACCCCCTGCTCCAGCAGGGACACCCAGAGCATGGGGCGGCATCCAGGCGGGTTTGGAGCCCTCCAGAGAAGGAGACTCCACAGCCTCCCTGGGTATCCTGTGCCAGGGCTCTGTCACCCTCACAATGGATAGGCCTCAACTTTCTTAGTGTCCCTGTCAACCTTCCTAGTTAGATTATTTAGGTGGCCTTCCTAGGTACATAAGTTAAGTAATATCAGCAAGAAGATGGTAAAGCCCCTAAATTAGTATTTTTTTCATCTTCTTGCATCAAATTCCTTTCTTATTGAAATCAGAAACCATCAACTTTATAAGTAACAATTTGGTTTTAACTCTCTATATAGACAGCAGCACTTAGAGTACATGCTGTACTTGCAGCCTTGCTTGAAACTGATTCAGTAATTGTTTTAATCCATGTGTTACCAAGATTATTTTGGCAAATCAGAGCTAATGAAGTTTGGTGGATTAGCCAACAAAGGACAATACTAGAATTTGTGTTGAGCATTTTCCTCTCTGAAGCTAAGATCATCATTTCAGTCTTGTTACAATAGAAAGTTAATATATTTCAATATATCGAACATGTGGCAATAATATTGGGATTTTTTCACAATAGGGAACCTAGAATTAATAGCACTTTACAACTAATATTTGAAAATTGCTTTTCAGAGAAATATATAATTTTGCTGTATAGTACAAATTTTTGAGAAATTAACCCCCCCCCCCCCTTCTGGCAATGATATATTTTAAGATGTGAAAACAGAGAATTGGTACAAACAGGAAAACGGGCTTGGAAAAAGCCATGGTTCATCTCGCTGGAAGAGCAAGGAGGTGAACCTGCCCAACATGTCACTGCGAGCTCTCAGCCCTTGGCTGGAATGGGAAGGCAAGGAGAGCCAGCGTGGGGAAGATGCAGAGCCAAAAATAGGGTAGCAGACTGAGTCGGGGTTCCTTGCTGTAATGGCAGTGGGGAGATGGAGAACATGGCTAGATACAGGAGGCTGCAAGAAGTTCTTTGTTAGCTATTGAAACGAAGAATTAGAAGGTGAGAATTGAGACCGTTGTCAGGAAGAGAGTGAGAGAGAAATTTAAGGAGGGAGGGTAATGTGTTTTGTTCATCAGTAAGGAAAATCGTGTTCCGTTTCTGGTTAAGTAGGTGGGCACATCTAGATGACTAAATTCTAAGCAATAGGTAGGGTATGTGACTGTTTCAGTTAACAGTAGGGAAAAAACAAGGAAAGATTTTGAAGYACAGTGGCTGAAAAAAGATAGGGGAGAATCTTTGTCGTAGGAAGTCACGGCAAAGTTTAGTTTCCTATAAAAATGGTAGCTACAAAAAATGCTGTATTTTGGGGCTACTGTCATTTCTCTGAATTTGAGAGTCCTTCCTCTCTGGAAGGACAAAATAGCAGTCTGGTAACTTGTTGAAAGTTAGTGAGACTGTAGGAGCTCACAAAGGATTCATCTGAATGATTCAACTGTTAGGAGATGTCACATCAAAGGACCTCTTAACCTAACGCTTTCTCATATTTAAAAGCTGAGAGGAACAAAAGACTATCTCTTCTCTCTTAAGACTAAATCTGCATCAAGCTACCAGTTGGAGAGAGATGGATTACCTAAGATGATGATCAAGTTAATGTGGTCTTGTTGTTATAAACAAAGTTCCAAGCAGKTTATTAATAAAGTGTARGAAAAATTACATTAAGCTTTCTATCACATTTTTATCTTTTCGGTGATCAGGTTRTCTGACATTTTCTTTTAAATCTTCTGCTGAGTGATAGTCCTGTATATAAAAAAGTAATAAATCTCACGCTGATTTGAAGCTATGCTAGGAMCTTATACAGATTGCTGTGCAGGAAGCAGCTATGAATGTTGCTTCTGAGACCCTGCACAGTCCTGAGGTCTGTGTGTTGGCCGAGGAGACTGTAGTACAGTTGGGGGTGRCAGAGAGAGGAGGAAAAACAGCCTTGGCCAGGCAGTGAGAAACAGTGAAAGGAATCATACTTTCTTCTCACATTTCTAATGAAYTATTTGAGACAACATGAATTAAATCGTTTGTAACATAATGGTTGGCAGTATCTCCAAAACACATTTTTTGCGGTTGGTGGCTGGTTTGGGCTTATTGAACATCTTTCCTAGCATCGAAGTACCTKCTAGGTTCTCATTCCAGCGATGTGRTTGCTGTCCTGTCCTTTAAGGTAAGGACTGYGGAGAACTTGGTAACACATGTAAGGAAATACTAGCAAGGAAGCATTCTCCCTCGTTGTTAACCAGTGAAAGTTGCTAATCCTCTGAGAATAATTAATCATTTAGTTTCCCTGTTTCTGCTTGCTGATTTAATTACAATCATCCTACCAGAAGGAAAAAAAAATGCCGTGGTTTGTGTGCTCACAAAATCCTATTTCTTCTTTAATTGTAGAGAGTAGGATGAGAGGGAATCTGTCTTCTGTCTCSCACTGCCACTTAGGGCTGCTTTTACTTTGCTGAAACCTTAGCACCTAAACAGAGTTTATTTGAATAACAGTAACTTCCTTAGCATATTCAGTACACAGGGTTTCTCCGTGGAGATGCTGGGGTGCATCGAGAGGCCCCTACGCTGAGGGGAAACGCTCCGCAGCTGCCCAAAACGTAGGCAGGGAAAAGMAGGCTGTGCAGGCAGGAGATGCAGACAGATTTTTTGATGGGTTTTGTCTCCTGCAAAGTGCAGCAGCTACTTCTACCCGTCAGATTGCCTAATGGGCTGCAGATGTCAGTCTGTTACACTGCACCCTTTCCAGCAAGGCGAGTTTTCCTTCTGGGTCTGGTGTGAAGATACAGTCCTCCACAGTCCAACCAAATATGGACCATGTCTCTTAGACACAGGGCTCTTCATCTAGAGAGCCTGTTTCTGCYTGCAAGGGCCTCTATGGTGATATCAGGGCTAGTTTTCTGATTGCCTTCTGCCAGAGTACAGTTAGGGGCTGAGTTTTTTTCAGGGTACCTTCTGAAGAAATCATTTTTGTTCCAAAAAGTGGGAAGGGATGTAGGTGGGTGCGCAGAGGTGGTCGGTGCCTGCTGGCCCCTGCACCGTGAGGTTCTTCCGGCATTCCCGAGGCTCCTGATGGATGTCTGAGAGTCCTGGCGAGAGATGGGTGGTGTTTGCGGAGGGCAAAGTTACCTTTAATACCTCATGGAAACCAAATTGTGGGATCTGGGCGATCAGGAAAGCTAAATGACTAGAAAGAAGTGACACTRCGTGGAAGGGGCGGATGGCTCCGTGAATGGCAGAGGGGAGAAGGAAGGTGGAGGCAGCTTTGGGAGGACAGCTGAGACATTTCGAGCCACGTTTCACCTTTTACCTTAAGTCTGTTTTATCCCTGCCTGTGGTTTTGCTCCTGGTTTGAACTGAACTAGYCCCTGCCCTCCCTCAGTGTCTGAATTCCATCAAGGGAGCAATAAAACCTCACGCGGCAGCTTCAGGGCAGGCCCTCCGGGGCTGGGAGAGCTAATGCAATAAAGGTTTGCTCGACTGCTGTCGCGATACTCCCAGGTCTGCAAAGAGAAACGCTTTCAAAAACATGAAAAACATATTTATCTTCATCTTTTTAAATATGATGTGCTTTATTTCTTGGTACTTGCTAAAATGTGAATATTGAATACTCCTAGTTCRTAGTCTGATCTTTAGAAATTTCAAGGTAATTAATATTGGCCTAACACTAGTCATTGAAGTGAGTGGGAACAAAGCTAAATCCRTTTTGCTTTGAAAAAATACCATCCTATATTTGTAAATTGTAACTTATTTTTAGAATGCTGCAACACTAATGTTTTTAATGCAAGAAATGGMGTAGGTAACGTTCATAAATGGGATGCATCAGCCCGAATTTCCGCATGCAGCTGTGTCAATTTAGCAGGCTCCCAGCAACAAAGTGTTGAAGGTAGAGAGGATTCCCAAGAGTTTGAGATATCTTGTTTGTGCTTTGTTTATCACAGTTTGTGTTTAGTTTATATGTTTCTACAGCTTTTACATTGAAATTTTAAAGTCTGTCAAACAGAAAATACTTCCCTGCAATAGGTGCACTTTTTTTTTTTTTTTTAACTTCAGCG